TCAGCTGCCTCCTTCACACCCCCTACTGGGGATTGAGCCCTAAAGCTGGGCATGTACCCTAACCAGGAATCAAACGGTCATCTCCTGATTCATAGGTTGATGCTTAACCACTGAGCAACACCGGCCAGGCTATGCACACTTATAATAAAAAAAAATATTGGCTGTGAATCTTGCAAAAATGTACAGGTGAGCCCTAATCAGTTTGGCTCAATGGACAGAGCGTCGGCCTGCAGACTGAAAGGTCCCAGGTTCAATTCTGGTCAAAGGCATGTACCTTGGTTGTGGGCACATCCCCAGTAGCAGGTGTGCAAGAGACAGCTGATTGATGTTTCTCTCTCATGGATGTTTCTTTCAGTCCGCAGACCGACGCTCTACCACTGAGCCAAACCGGATTCGGCTCATGGATTTTTCTAACAGTCTATCCCTCTTCCTTCCTCTCTGTAAACAAAACAAAAGACAAACAAACAATAAAGTGCATATTTTTTAAAAATGCACAGGTGATATAATCATCTTCTAACTTATAACTAGAGGTCAAAGGGATGGAAAAGGGAATTTGGAGTGAATGCAATCTATCAAGAGAAATCATTCATTTTATGCTCATTAAGACTAAGTTCTGTCTTCTATATTAGCATTATCTTTGCAGTTGTCACTGATTTTTTAAGAGAGAGAGGAAAGGAGAGTGAGAGGCAGACAGAAATATCTATGAGAAATATCAATCCCACATACCGGGCATGTGCCCTGACTGAGAATCCAACCAGTGACCTCCTGGTGCATAGGCCGATGCTGAACCAACTGAGCCACACTGGATATATTGATATCCAAACTCATGCCATTCCCAAAGGGTTTCCTCTGTAGGACACACTTCTTTTCAACCTTCTCAGTTTATAGCAGTCTTCAGGAAACATTAATATTGTAATTTTTAGATTATAAATTACCTTCACAGATATTGTTGCTCTGTTTCATTCTCTCAGAAACCCGGTAAGATAACGAAAGCATCGTCACTATCCCTGTTTTCAAATTAAGGAAGCTGAAGCACATTTGCCATTAGTATAAGTGAAAAGACTTGAGCTAGAGTAGAGATCTCTGACTTCAAATTCTGAGCTCTCTGAACCACGAGAAATCTGTATTAATGGCTTATATTATACACATACACTAACACTATCGCACTTTCGATATGTATGGATATGTATTCGATGCTCAAATCTACATTTATATTGGCTGTATGTTTCAGGAACGATCTCCTGCCATAACCATGCCTTTATTTAGCTATTTGTTCATTGAACATCCTGGGAGAGCATCCTCTGCTTAAGCAGGCATTCTCCCTTGGCTCATGGGATTGTGCGGATCCTTATTGGGGCTTTGCACACCCGCCCCATCTGCCAAGAGCCCTTGATTGAATTTCTGGGGCTTTCCATGTGCATTGGGATTTCTTCTATGACACGCGGCTCTGCTCCTTTGTTGTTTTCTTCTTTGAGCTCCATTATCAGGAAGGTTATTTTTGTCTTCCCTGTAACCTCATTAATGCAGGATGGAGAAAGATAAGGAGAGAGCAGACATCAACAGAGAGAAGTGGCTGAGTCCACCAGGACTCTTCTCTCTTGATTCCCTCCTTCCTTCATTTTTGTCATGGGGCAGAATAGTATAAATCTGTATTAATCACATCAATATTAGCCTCTGTAGGATATTTGCTATAAAGTTGGCTATCATGTTTAAATAATCATAACTCTTTAAATACTTGCTATTAATCTCACATCTTTACTGAAAATTCTTACAGAGCACGACAAAAAAAAAAACCTGCCATGTTAATCCTTGCTATGTCCTTATTTGTTAACCCCATTTATCTTGTACCTATAAAATGCATTAAAAGACGTATGGCCCTCTCCAATTTGGCTCAGTGAATAGAGAAGCGGCCTGCAGACTAAAAGGTCTCATGTTCGGTTCTGGTCAAGGGCACATGCCCAAGTTGTAGGCTAGATCCTCAGTGTGGGGCATGCAGGAGGCAGCCAATCAAAGATTCTCTCATCATTGATGTTTATATCTCTCCCTCGCCCTTCCTCTCTGAAACCAATAAAAAATATATTGTAAAATATATATTGCCCCAACAATGTAAATATATATTGCCCCAACAATGCCCCAACAAGAGTAAATATTTCATCTTTTTACCCACTGGCCTGGCCCTATTTTAGCCCATTTACTTAAGATTTGAGTAGAGGGTATATGCATTAAGAAGAGGGAGGAATTTAACTTCATCCCACTGTGGGCAGAGGGCAGTGGGAAGTAAGGTAGAAGATGCTTCATAGCTGATACCAACTTTCTGCCCTGTCTCCCCCATTCTTTACTCCCCCCCTCCCTTTTAATCCCAATGGTCTCTTCTCAAGCTCTGTTTAAGAACAAGCCACTTTCAAAGATAGAGATGGGTAGAGAAGAGAGAAAAGAGAATTCTTGGGCTTTTTTTTCCTGAATATATTTTTATATAATTTAAGTCAAGCTTTGCATATGACTCTTTGGGAGGAGACACTAAGCTTGTGGTTTCAAAAATCCTCTTGACAATGAAGGATGCAAGGGAAATGCTTGTCCTTCTCGCCTGTGGCATAGACCACAGCCATGAAGTGAATCCTTGGATTAACTAAACCGCAGGCCACCCCCCGGCAGGCGGCTCAGGCAGCAGTGCAAAGGGGCTACTGCGCTCCTTATACCTAGTGCCTCTTATGTTGAAGGCCCATGCACCTGCTTATATTAACCACCTAATTCATCAACTACTGAAATGTTCCATTTTCATGTCATTTAAGATAGCAAAAGCTTATAAAATATCCTACCCTTAGCTTTCAGATACTGCTAAATGGCCATTGAATTCCAGAGTGTAGACAGGTTAAATGCCCTCTTCATACTTCACTGGTGGGACTGCAGCTTCCGGCTCTGACAGCTCATTGGCTTTGCTCTCACAGAAGCACCTGTGGGGCAGCAGGCATTTGCTGCTGCTTCTACAGTGTGATCTCTCAGCTGCCTTTGCTAACAGAATGGCACAGGTGAGAACAATTCTATTTTCAGGCAACCTTCTTCTGTCTTTGCATAAAAGCACAATATTGCACATAGTCAGCTAGTGTCAGTAAAGCCAAAGGGAAATCTTGTAGTTTTCAGTCTGGTGTACACATAGATTCTAGCAGTTCTGCTCCCACACCATTGAAGACAACTCATAAAATAAGTTACAGTTATTCCTTTGATTAGGAGAGATTTAGTGAAGGTGAGACTAATAACCACATTAAGCACAGCATTTCATTGCATTAGAGAGTTTTGGTACTCTCTGACCAAATTATTATCCTTCTAATGAACTATTATAAAATGAGATTTATTTGAAAACATATTGATATCTATCAAAAAATAAAAACCCTAATAATGAAGTTAATTCCAGGCATAGCAGAAATGGTAGCTTGCCAAAACTTATCCACTTGTTTACATAAAGAAAATAATCCATTTATTATGCTTTTTTTCTGACATCCTTACTTGTTCATTTTCCCTCACATCACATTTCTACACATGGCTATATTTGATCATAACTTCTTAGAAATATGCATTTTGATACATACCATGATAGATCTTCCCAAATCAAATGATGTATACTAATGCTAAACACTATATTTTAAATAGTTTACAAATTTAGTGTCAATATGTCTCTTAAATTCATATTACCTACTGGAGAATGTTATAGGAAATTTATTTAAACTAAAAAAAATCCACAGATTTTAGCTATTCTAAAAATGAGAAATTTCTATAGTCAAAATTAAAATACAAAAAGAGCAATCATGTCATTTAAAACTGAGAGAGGCCTTCCTTTTTGTTTCTCCTACTGATAAACATTACACCTTTATTTTAAAAATACAAGCTTCTTCCTATGGGGGGGGGGAGGAGAGGGGGGAGGGGGAACAGGCAATTTGAAAGCTTACACAATTGAAAAATGGTTCTTATGTAATTCTTCTGTTGCATCTATTATCTGTCTCAATGGTTGGCAATAATAAATACTTATTTTCTGAAAATGTATTCCAAATTTCTTTTAAGTCAGCAAAGTCACTTTCTCAGAGTGTGGGTTTTGTTTGTTGCTGATTTGTTTGTGTCTTTACAGGAGGAATCACCAAACCTATTCATGATTGGCTTTTACTGATCCTGATGCAAAAGCTGTATCTTTTGATCATTTATTTATGACTAAAAGCTGCTTTAAAAGACATAGTGGCACAATTAAATATTTAAGCCCTCTGACAGATCAGCAGGTAAGCAGTATGAACTTACATTAAAAATAATAGATACTAATGAATAGTTCCCAGCATTTTAAACAATGGATATCAGCTTACAAGAATTGCAAATAAACTCTGGATTTATTTATTGCCACACACACACACACACACACACACACAAAATATTCTAATAATTAACTCAACAAGAAAGCTAATTTATTTCAGCTGTTAGTCATTTTAATGACAGCACCTTGCTATCACGAGTAAGAAATCATTTTGCTTCTCAGGAATTTTCTCCTCCTCCTCAGGAGGGACCACACCACACAGCAAAACCAGTTGCACCTCTATTTTCTGAAGCCCTTCCCCGCCTTGCTCCCCATAAACTGGTATTTAGATACCAAATGACAACTCTGCGGATTCAGCCCCTGAAGGCAGTTCACAACCTGATCCCTCCCCCCTCCTGTGGTGTCTGCCTGCCGGTGAGGGAAGTTCTCACTTCCAAAACCTACTATTTACGAGACAAAAAAAAAAAATAAAAAATAAAAAAAATAACAACCTCTGTGAGCTGGCACGTGATTGTTGCCCTCCCTTCCATCCCACCCGGCTCTGGCAAGTCAGTGTGACACACGCAGGACCACCGGTCCTCAGACTCCTCAGTCCGCTTTTGCGATGCTTGCTCATCAGGTGCATGCTCAGGGTCCGAGCAGACCGGAGACCTGCGGTCTTGAATGTTATTTCTCTCTTTCCGGAAAGGATCTGGGAGAGGTGACCTACCTTTATGTGTGAGGCGCAAGCGGGGCTGCGCGGTGTCCGCGGCCTGAGCTCCGGTCCAGAGCTCCAGGAGGTAGCCCCAGAGGAGCCAGGTGAGACGCTGCCCGGGCCATGCCATGCTGCCCTGCAGACCTCCGAGCCGCGCCGAGCCGAGCCGGTCCGATCCTCGGTGCCAGGCGCAGGGAGTGAGTTCCACTCGGGACTCCCCTCCGGGGGCGGCGTGGGAGGGAGGCAGAGGCTTTGTCAGACACCGCGCGCCTTGTCATCAAGGCTCCCCAGTGCCATCTGTCAGGCGGCGGCGGTGTCTGGCCACGGGAAGCCTTTCTTTCCTCCGGGACAGTTGTTTATAAGCCCCGGGCAAGAGGACATTCCGAGGAGGAGCGTGTCTCCGGAGCCATGCCCTGCGCTCCCCTCCCCGGGGGCGATCGGGAGAGAGACCCCGCGGGGGGCCACTTTCTGCAGAACAGGGGGTGCCGCCTGAGCCCCCGGCGCACGCACCGCCTCCCGCACCGCCTTCCCGGAGCGAGCTCTCCCCCCGTCCCCTCTCACCCCGCTGCGGAGCAGCCAGATGCGCCTTCCCCCCCAGGAGCCGCCGGGCCGGCCCGCCCTGCGGGGCCCGGAGCTGTCAGGCCGGGAAAGTTCGGGCGGGCGGAGCGGACCTGCAGTTTCTAGGAAGTGTCGGTGCTGCACGTGCCCGGCTCCCACCCGCCCTCCGGGTCCCGGCGTCACTGCTCAGCCCGGAGGCAAGTTCCCTCCTGATGGGGAGGGGGGATCGGAGGGAGACCGGCCTAGAGCAGGAGGGTGATTGCAGGATATGGAGCAGAAGAGGATGGATGCTGCGTCAGGGAGGGCTTTGGGATGCCCAGGCACCCAGGGTCACCCTTACATAAATGCACATTCATGTTAAGTCCTCAATGTGTCACCATCTAGTACTGAAATTTCATTTTTTAGAGTTTTGACTTTTTTTTTTTTTTTTACATGTATGGCTTTTTTTTTTTTTTTTTTTTTTTTTTTTGGATGACATCTTACAAATGTGACTTTCAACTCTTCTAAGGGAAGGGTGTTTCAAGACCCTGAAAAAATAAAATGTTTTCTCTTATAGTTGTGCTGGAACTACTTATTTTGCTGAGGCAATCCTCCAGATCAATTCGAAGAACAAATCATACATGCTATCCTGAATTTAGGAATAATTCGGTTTTCAAGTACTTTGCTCCAAGATAAGGCAACTATGGTAAAGTTAAGATTCTCAAACCAACAGACCCCCCCAAAAAGCAGGTATCAGGGAACTCAGGAGGTGACATGCCTTAGGGTTCAACAGCTATGCACTTTGAGAGTTTATTTTCCTAGACACCGCTTTGTGTAAATAAGCTTAACACAATGGGTCAACTTTACAATCTACTTTCAATCAATCTCAAAAACAAAACCAAACACGCTGTAGCCGTTGGCATGGGAATGAATAGGATTATTTTGAGATACCAATAAACTTAAATAGATATTTAATTTAAGAGTTGAGAGTTACATGATAAACACATTTCAACTATGGTTACATTTTTTTTCTGCGTTTGAAATGATAACGATTAAGGACACTTCTTTGAGAGGTATGTTTTGTTTTTTTAATTGTTTTTGTAATTGTTACAAAAAGATAATGCAGGGTTACCCTGACATTTTGAATTCTATACAAGCAAACGGAGAGCTCGTCATGCCATACCCATTTTTTAAAGCATGATATCGTCATTTACAAGCAGAGTATATTTAGCAAAATGTAAACGTCACTGGGTATTATAAATAATTAGATTTCTAAGGTCTACAAAAGATTACAAGCTCTAAACATTATTTAACAGGAAAGCGACCGTGAAGTCTTTGGAGACTTTTAACCTGGGGTGGTCTCTGGAGGCACTTGGATATTTTCAAAGCCAGGCAGTTGAGCTGCAGAGCTAACGGCTGTCCTAAATGTGATATACCATACCTTCAGAATCCTCTTTCATTTTCTTCCAGAGTTGAAGTGATCAGAAAATAAATAGCAGTTTTACACGTATTATCTAATGGCAGGATTCTGGAAAAGTAAATATGATGCATATAACTTTTATTACAAATATACGGCTGCTCTCATAAAATTAAATCCTACATAAGATTACACAGGGCCTGTCCTAAATCAGTTATGGAACAGAGGCAATGCAAGATGTATCCCATTTCATTAGGATACAAAATTCACACCATCATATATCGGTGCAGGAAGACATGTTACGAATGCCAGTTATATACATACAAGCTACCTACCAAGATTCATCTCCAGTTTCACATGTGATCCTTCATCTTAGGTTAGCAAGACAATGTGTCACATGCCATAGTAATGAGTTCCTTTGGTTTTCTCAAAATGTGCTTTGGTTTATCCTCTGTCATCAATGTCATTGCTTATTCCCTTTAACTCCTTCCTATATCCTTCTACCTTTCTCAGAGGAAACACACAGATGATGCCAATGTCATTGCTTATTCCCTTTAACTCCTTCCCATATCCTTCTACCTTTCTCAGAGGAAACACACAGATGATGCCAAAAAGTGACTGTTAAAAAAACAACAACCCAAAACTAAATGTCCAGAACTTTCCATGTAACTTTTGCTCCTGGCAATGAAATGAAGAGTCTTTGACACCAAATCTGTCATTCATATCATAAAATAAGAACCCTCAGAAGCAAGGTATCATATAATTTATCTTCCAAATAAGGTATGTTTGAGAGTCAAAGAGCCTTCTATTGATGATGATATGTAAACTAAGAATATTATAAATAAACCAGGATATCAAAGTCACCCTACATTTGGCCCAGGGCAGTGAAATACTTCTAAGTAATTCTTCTATTTCTTTCTACAGCAAAAGAGTGATCATGAAATCTAAGCATCTCAGATGATTGAATCTCCACATTAGGGACAGTGCCTTGGAAAGTTACCCAGACCCACAGCCAACTTTCTATGAGCAAAAACTAAACATATGTTATGTTCAGCTGTTAGGTTTATTTGTTACAACCACATAGCATAGCCTCTTCTGACTAAATGCATACATTTAACCTACTATGCTTTGGGAAACATGCTCTTGAACACACATATAACATCAATAAGCATTAATACAGTATTCCTTCCTATCTGTCTCTAAAACTACTTCAGCAGAAGTGTCTAAGACAGCCAATGATAGATGTGGATTCTTGGGGGCTATGTAAAAGATAAAGTGATTCCCTTTGTCATTTCTAGGATGGGGTGGGATGTGTCCTTGGATTTTCCTGAACATTGTATACAAAAATGATGTTGTAAGCAGAATTTATAGGTGAGCAACATAGTACCACATCTCAAGAACATTAGGATTAAAACCATTAGTATATCAAAGTCTCACAATAGCAATGATGAGGATTCTTTTTATAACCAAAGATAAACTTTATCTACAGCAGCCATGGCATTTCAGGTTCACTAATCCTTCACCTACTCCTGCTAGCCCTGCAACATCTCAAATGTCCCAGTATGGCCTGCTATTGCTGCTGTGGCTGCCATCACTACTGCTGGGTTTTGCAGGCAAGACTGTTGATGAATTGTTTGGTCAGTCAGTTCAGCTGCCCTGTATCACACTCTCTATAAGGGTTCCAGAAGTCTGCATTGACCATTTCCCACATTCACTTATTCAGGAAGATGAGGAAAAATAGATAATTCGTTAGCTTCTGATTTGTTTGTGTGTGACATCCCATCAATCAATACCATCCAGGATCGAATGTAGTCACTGACCTGAAAGAGATTTGGCTGATGCCATTGTGATGTCATCATTTGGATAACTAGCAGTTCAATACATTTGCCTTATATTTTCCGTTTTGATCATCCATTCATTAAATTTGAGGAAAATGTATAATTTATAGAACTTCAAATTCTTTGTTTCTGACTCACAGTAGGTTTATTCTAGTTTTCTCTTTGGTCCTTGGCTACAAGAAAAGCAGAAAAGGCATTTTGAGGATTTTATGCCAAGTGTTGGCTTTAATTGATTTCAATCAGAAAGCAGCGATGGTTCTCATGCTCTCTCTATGGAGAAATAAAATTATGTGTCTCATTAACACGGAAAATCTTTTAACTGATCAGTCCTGAGAGTTTTCTCTATATTCCTCCTTATAAAGTTATAGAGAATTCCTAAAAAAGACAGAATTCCAATCGCTGGCTTAAAAAATGCAACAGAAACCTCCATCACATATTGTTTTTCATGTTTGTTGTAACATATATTTCTGTGTTATTGGTGCCACCAATGGTGAATTGTTTATACTATACTAGAGGCCTGATGCACAAAGTTCTTGCAAGGGGCTTGCCCTCCGCTGCCGCTGCAGCCACCCCCTCTGCCTCAGTCTCCGCCCACCGTCATAGTTGTGGGCCCTCGCAGCCCCAGCTTCGTCCAGAAGGTCATTGGAAGGATGTCCAGTCTAATTAACATATTATGCTTTCATTGCTATAGATTATTATAGATGACTAGTATCCTCAAAACCTAACAACATATATCAAACTGATTCCAATCTAATGGAATGAAAATAATGATTACTGTTCATTTGTTATTTTCTCTATGCTGAGCACTGTGAAAAGCACAATTATACAAAATTCAATTTAACCCAGACAACAACCCTATGCAATAGATATTATTTTTATTGCCACTTATACGTGGGAAGTATCTGGAACACAGATATTAAGTAACTGGTCTGAGGTGAAATATCTATGAGCAATAGCACTATCAGTTTAAACCCAGACTCTAGGGCCTGTGTTCCAACCCTTACACTTGGCGTCTCAGAGAATATTGTTTAGATAAAACTTTATGAAGACATTTTCAAATTTCTACACTAACAGAACTTATTTTTAATACATTTTAATATAAACCATATATGGCTTTAAAATAAAAACCTTTCAAGGCAGCCATCAGTCTCTGTGATTAATCTCACCAGGTAAGTTCTCCATCCAAGGGTGTGTCAGATGATGAGAATACTCTTCCTCCATTTCAGGCAATAGACTGTCTGCTGCACGAATTTTAGTATTTGTTTAGTTGACCAGATACTGGCCCTTGAAGGTTATTAGGTCTGATAAGAGTCTTCTTAGCTTGGTAATCAGACACAA